CTTTTAATGGTGAATTTGCTCAAATTTGGAAGTGGCCATAGTTGCCATCAGTTGTTTGTGATCCTTTCTGTTCTCATCCCATGTGGCCTACGAAATCAAAAGACCCTAAACTAGCCTTAGTCACATCAAATTTTCAACTTTTCAACACCTCAGCCCTCTTAAAATCTGAGATTAAAATCTATTTAGCGGTCAACACTGAAAAATTTGAAAACAGACACTCTGAAACCAGTGGCTGCACTAAGCTGTATGGGGTTAATTTCACTCTGAATCCTCTTCAGCAGTTATTTAAAAACCTAGAAAATGTATTACATTAAATATTGTCAGCAGTGGATGCGGCAACTTTGACATCTGCTTTGGACCGTTTTCTAACTGCTTCAAAAAAGTTCAGAGCAAGGTTAAACCACTTATCGCCAGGAAACTAGGTCTGTGATCTTTTAATTAGGTCTTTTATCAGAGACTGATTGTTATCTGAAAGCTAACTGGCCCTTTGGAGGAAATTAATTGGTATGTGAGTGTGTTTGGAACAACATTGGTGATAAGATCAAGTGATGAATAGTGAGAGGCCTCGACATTGCAGTAACCCTCACCTCTGGGGATTTCATCACTTTTACCTCCAATATATATATATTTTTAATCATGTATTGGTGAATCTCACAAAGAACATGTCTAGGTGTCACATTTCACCCCAAATAACAAATTATATTTTTAGTAAATAAAATTAAGCTCAACTATTAATTCAAGGTGTTGTTTATTTGTTCTGTCTTTAACTTTGGAAAAATTCCTTAAAATAAAGTATTTAAAAAAGCACCCTCCCCCAATCACTGTAATGTTTCACTTTTAAATTGGTTTGAAATTTTCATTTAGCATACATTTTAAAGTTTATTGTAAAATAGTAATGCGAGTCATCCTGTCAGGATGCAATGATTGTTAGAAAAATAAACATGGGATCCCTCAAGCATAAATTAAGGGTGGTACAACAAATGCTACTATGATGTATAAATACTTTTATTTATAATTTTTTCTTTCTTTCAGGTTGTCAGCTCCAGTAAACTGTGGAGGGCTACCCCTCTTCGTTGCTTAGACTGTTAGACTGACCATCCAGACAGGACTCCAGAACAATAGACCGAGGTCAAACTACATAAATACTTAACACGCCATACAGCTGTGGCCTCAGTGCCATATGCAAAACATCTAAAAATGGATGCAGGATGGTCTACGACTCTTTCTCTCTCTCTCTCTCTCTCTCTCTCTCTCTCTCTCTCTCTCTCTCTCTCTCTCTCTCTCTCTCTCTCTCTCTCTCTCTCTCTCTCTCTCTCTCTCTCTCTCTCTCTCTCTCTCTCTCACACACACGCACATGCACTCTCACCCTTAAACACTAGATCCTGAATATGCCATCAGTGATCAGGGAGACGTGCACACGTTTCTGCACTTGCTGACCGTTGTGTTGCCTTCCTGCCTTTGTATTCTGTTTGTTAGTGCATATACAGCAGCTCAACATATAACACTAGATCACCACTCACAGGAAAAGTGAAGTGAAGACAGCACACCATGCCAAACCTGGATAACACCAGACTGCTCCACCCGCTAACTCTGTTTCCACATTTCTGGGAATCACACAATTGAGAATTAACTTGGAGCCAAAACATTGGGGCTATATAACCTAGATGCAACCATTTTTATGCATGTATAAAGCTGAAATTAACGTAATTCATACTCTAAACCCATTCATTAAAAAAATAAAATAAAATAAACAATTTTATAGGTTCAAGGTGGAATGGGTTTTACTTTTCTATTTGCATTAGAAGGTCTGATGTGGCTTCAGTACTTTATTATTTAAATTGATTTATGACTTTTTTTTTTAACCAATATATGGTTTTGCCTGACGGGGTATTGTAAATGATGCAGCCTATATTACTTTAACTTGGTTAACAGTCTTTCATTAGATGTTACAGATATGCACCACTCAACTCTAGATCACGCAGAAGTGCATGTGTTTAGTTACTGCTGAGCTAACGGATATGTGAATTAATGTTAAAAGAGTAATCAAACAGATAGGTGTATCGGAGTAAATTCCAAACATTCCCCTGTTGTAGACTCTGATAGGTCAGTCTCGCATGCACCTTATCAAACCCTCCGCACCCTCCACTCACCCAATGGTGTGACTCCAGTAGTCCTCTTCTTTTTGTTGCTTTTGTCTAACACATGCACTCCTTATTTTGTTTTTTTTCAAGTTTGTTTGGAATTCCTTGTTCAAAAAGTTCTAGAATTTCTAAAATTCTAAAAAATGTTTCTCAAGTGTGCAAGTCTGATCGTTGCTCTCATTTCTTGTGTTCTCTGAAGTGTAGTTGGTTTTGTCTCAGATTTGCTGTATATTGTCCACTGTCTCTCTTTCTCTGTGAAGCAGACTGAGATATGGATGTGTCCTGCCTGGCAGTTATAGCAGTGCCTTTCTCTGTGCCTCCTTCATGCCCCCTCCCCTTACTTGCCCTTTTCGTCTCGCTCTTTCTTCACTCTTTGGTGGGGGAAGGAATGTTTATTTACAGAGCCAAAGTGAGGACTTTAATTACTCCTGATGGATAGAGAGGACATGAAACCACTTCACATTTACACCACATCTGCCAAACCTCCGTTCTTCTCTGCTCATTCCGTAAACTGCTCTGACCACATGGCTGCGAGTGTTTGTTTTCCTGTAATCATGTGTTGGTTTGGTTGATATTGCCATCTCGTGATATGATGCCATCATCCTCCATCTATAATACAATTATGCAACAATCGCTGGTCTTTTAGGGGACATCCCTGTTGAAAAAGCCAGCGTATGCAGGTTAGGTATGTTTTGAATCATGGCAGCTGGTTTGAGCTGGTCCTTAGTTGATCATGAGCTGGTTTAAGCTGGTCCTGAGCTGGTTTAAACTGGTCATGTGCTGGTTCTAAGCATCTAGCTCCTGCTCAGAACCAGCTTAACTTTCCAGTTAACAGCCATGATTCTTAGTCACCAGTCCAATGATATATATATATAGAGAGAGAGAGAGATCTTTAACGGTTAACGTTAAAGTTGAAAATTTGATGTGACTAAGGCTAGTTTAGGGTCTTTTGATTTCGTAGGCCACATGGGATGAGAACAGAAAGGATCACAAACAACTGATGGCAAGGACAGATTGCGAGAGCTGAAAGTAGAAAGAAGAGTGGGGCAGCATGGTTTCTCCTTCTAGATTAAAAGAATATATGAAAATGCAGTGGGAGTGGTTGCACATGGGAGGAATAGAGTAAATGTTTGGTTGCGTAACTGATAAGAGCCCATCTGTGGTAGAAATCAGACAGATCAATTAATGTCTATCAGTTATGATTTCCCTCTGCTTTCTAGAGTCTGTGTTTACAGTTTCTGTTCCCCTGAGTAGTGACCCCTGACTTCACTCAAAGCAGGGCAGTTTAAGATAAATCCTGTGCTAATATGCAATATATATGAGCACTGACCAGGACGCAACCAGGAGAAGAGTGTCATGATTTTTTAAGGAAAAATTATCTTTGAAGTGTGACTGATATTGATCAATGCTGCTGTGCAAATTATATCCCAAATATATCTTGTCATAGTTTGCACTTAATAGTTTTTTTTTTTTTTTTTTTAGACTAAACATGTCTTTGAGTTATTCGCATTCACCAGCCTCTGGTTTGTGGCAAGTGCTATTTTGAGTTCACCACAGTGATGCTTGTCTTCAAGCTTTGTACATTAAACAAGGATTTGGCTTTCTGAATGGAGCAAAATTGAGCAATGTGATAAAGGAAGGGTGAAAAGAGCTTCCTATACTTACAGGAAGTAGGAAATCCGCAAGCCTGTGCAATGTTAACCTCTGAATGAACCTCTAATGTCCTTTTTGAACTCTTTACTTGAGGTCCTGGATAGTTTGCTTTGCTACTTCTAAGTCACTTTGGATAAAAGTGTCTGCTAACGTATTGGGAGTATTATGGTGGGAGTACATTTCTGCAATAACCGAGCATGAATTATAATTTGTTACAAAATAATTTGTTATCAGTTGGACTGAACGCTTGATGTATCTGACCATCATTTCAACCGCTGGAGCTGTTATGTCCGGCCCTCATGGGTGTGTTAATATGGAACACTTAAAAGCTGCTTCATGAAGTGACCATTCTTGTGCCAAAAGTTTAGTGATAGGGCATGCTACTGAGAGCTGATCACAAACGTAGACAAGCTCTAGTTCCTCTGAACCTGCGTCAGCAGAGAAGAACAGGAAAACTTTGATAGGGATGAACCCGACACGAAAACATGAGATGAATAAACAAGGATAAATATTCAACTGTAGATAACAGTGTGCCTGGTACGAGTTGATGAACAAGTCAACGATAGTGTGGGAAACATTTGCAAATATTTTTTATTTTATAAAAAGTGATGCAAATTGGTAACACTTTACAATAAGGTTCCATTAGTTAATGCATTAACTAACATGAAAAATAAATTTTTACAGTATTTATTCATCTTTGTTAATGAAAATACAGTTGTTCACTGTTAATTCACAGTGCATTAACTAATGTTAACAAGCACTTTTGATTTTAATAATGCATTAGTAAATGTTGAAATTAACATGAACTAAGAATGAACAATACTTCTACAGCATTTATTAATCATAGTTAATGTTAACTAAAGTAGTTAACTAATGAACCTTATTGTAGAGTTTTGCCAAAAAATGTAAGCAACCTGATGACAAATAGAAGACACATTGTTTTACTCACCAAGACTTTGTATTTGGATTCCATCTTGCTAATGCCCCTTTAAGAAATGTTTTGAGGTATGGTATGTCAATGTTTTTGTCTCATATATACAGTAGGTAGTATATAAATGTATTTTTTCCCGTTACTGCTTTAAATCTCCCTTCTACTGTTATAAGTACTGGGCTTTGTTTGTGTCATGTTAGAAAGTAATAAAATATCATGAAGGCTTTTGAAATCTTATGCTTTGACTGAATGAATACAGAGACATGGCACAGATCAAAGTTTATCAAAAGCATTTAATATTATTCAGAGTAATCATATCAATGTCACACGAATTCACAAAGTGTTTTAAGACATGTCTGGCTCAGTTCGCTTCGTGTGAATTCCAAAACAGTGCAGATTTTAAATAACCACAAAAAAAAAAAAAAATGAGGAATAGAGGAAAGTGTGTATATTGCAACAGGAAAAAATATTTCTTAACAAAAAACAGAGTAGCTCTAGTAGAACTCAGCACCATCTATATCATAATCAAAACCATTTTCCTGATAATACATGAATTATTTCATGCTAACGCCTCTAAAGCTTTAAAAAATGACTATATAAATCAAAAACAATAATGCGTTAAATCCCCTTTCAATGTTACTCATTCCAGTAAAATGCCACAATTTACAGCTCAGTATGATTTTTCGCAGTATGGTTTAGGTTTATGACAACCCACTGCAGCCAATTACTGTATACTGTGTATATAGAAAGTTTATGCCTGCTGTAACCAGCACAGCAAATGTGTCCTCAAACGAACAGCATTTACAACAGGACAGAAGCACCACTATATGTGTAAGAGTATCAAAAACTGTTTTTAGCCCCAATTCATGAATTCCCTGAATTCATGATAGAGTAGCTGCTAATCTAGGCTCAGAATTACTGACATCAGTCCAACTCACCATCTTAGTAAAAAACAAAACCAAAGCTTCGGAGAGCACAGGTCTAATTTGAGAACTCATATGAATATGGCCCCTGGATTTAAGCTTTCTTTTTTCAAAAATAAACATTTAAACTGGTAAGTCAGCAGGTGTTCAAATACATAACAGTGCTCACATACAAGTCACCTGTTAATATATGTGGGGAAAACTGTCTTTTTTAAACATTTGTGTATAACAGACAACTTCCGAATTAAAATCTACCCTCTGTGCCCTACATGGACAAGGAGTCAAGTTATGAGAGATTTAATATATATAAACAGGAAAGATATTTAAAGGGGCAAGCACCAAAACTAACAAAAAAAATTAAAAAGAATCAGCACCCTTGAAATCTTGGAGGATTAAGTAACAATAGAACCCCTTAATACATCTCTGATAACCATGTTGAGGCAGGGGAGAACATTTAATATCCAATAAATAGAAAAACATTTTAAATAAAAAAAAATGTACAATTTAAAATAAAAAGAAAATCAGAGAAGAGCTCTGTATAGAGGTGAGAAACAATTCACTGAACAAAAGAGATGAAACCGAACAATTATACTTACAAAATGCAGGAAAAATGATTGATTAAAAATGAAATCCTAAAATGCTTATATAAACACAACATTCCATATGAAAACTGAAAACATCTTTTAAAACCCGTATGTTTTGAAGCATTCTGATCAACTGTATCTTTTAATTCTTAATGCTTTAGAAAAATGTCCATAGCTCTATTATTAGTATTATTCATTTTTATCTCTTCACTAAATACAAGTCACAAGGCCAATGTGGTATATATCTAGGCTGTTCTAGGTTTAAAAATAATTTATTGAAAAAAAAAAAAGAAGCACCCACGAAAAGTACAAAGAGCATTTACACACACACACACACACACACACACACACACAAAAAGAGAGCAACACGAAAGAAAACCCAAACAGACAGGATCTCGGCAACTCTGCCGCTGGAAGCCGTGACAGCACCAAACTGCGTTCCATCTGAAGTCCCGCAGAGCCATTCCGAGGTTGGTACACAAGACCGACAGAAGTGAACTCGAGTCTTATTGGCTGATTGGTTCCGTAAACAATGCTGAATAAACTGGTTCTCGATTGGCTGTTCAACAAATATTAACAGTAGTACTTTTTTCTTTCCAACGGTAAATGTTTTAAGTCTTAATTGGACTAAAATAAAAGATCTTGTCCTGCGAGCAGGAGTTTTGGTTATGGCTGTGTGAGGGAAAGGGATGAGACGTCCTCATTGGGAGCTGGAACCGGTAGCCTGAGAAAGCACATACAAATGACAGATGTTAGCTTTTTTTTTAAGCTTTGTTCTTGTTTGTTCACATTGATAAAACGTGGATGCACTCACCAGGCTGAAAGAGTCGTACACGTTCATGAGCTCCTCCATGCGGTATTGCTCCAGCACTACTACACTGGAGAGGTTTGGGTTGCGTTGTCGTGCACAGTCCTCACACTGAACCACATACATCTTCCGACTGCCATTCTCACTGGTCACAAACAGCAGGTCAAACACCTCCACCTGCACAAGAGCAAAACAAACAAGCTCTTAAAGCCTGGGCCTTTTGTGACACCAAAAGAAAACATCCTTTAGAATAATTAAAACTTGCATTATTATTTTACAACTTGAGATGACACAACTGTATGTTAATTATATTCTTTTTTTGGAATAGAATTCTGCAGGTCTTTGGTGGGTTTTTCTATGTTGAACCTGCCAATACTTTACAAATAATGAAGCACAATCAACTCACATCACACTCGTTACAGTAGTAGGCCGGCTCATCCTTCAGTCTGCTCTGGTAGGAGATCTTCTTTCCTGTTGCCACCAGCTGGTCCCTCAGAATCTGAATGTGCTTAATAGACTGGAGGAGACAGTGTCTGAAAAGGAGGAAAGGCAAATGTATTAGATGTCCATGCTACTTAATTGTGATGTGACTTGATAAGAACAAGTCCATAATGCTACTGCATACTCACTTGATCATCTTGTAAGTGTCTGGGTCAGTGACTTTGACGTTGCGTGCCACGTTCCAGGATACGTGAATCATGGGAACGATGGATTTGACTTTCTTCACTTCGTTCCACTCAAATCTCTCTAAAGCCAACTGGTACTGATAAGCTACAAATGCAGAAAACATTTTTTTTTCTTTTACATTTCTGTGCCCAGGATTTTAGTTTTACACATTTATTTGCAACTGTTTATGTAATTATCATGACTGATAAAATGCAGTTTAAAGCAACTAGATTTTATTTGCCACTTAAAGTATGCTATTCCTGGCACACATCATGCATATGTTATTGTGATGACAATGAAAAAATCATAATTTTCAGCTACAGGCACTAAAACACCCGAAAGCCACCACTTTTTGAATGAAAAACAGATCAGAAGTTCTTAAAAGGTTATTGTGTAGGTTACTCACAGCTGACAGGTCCCACATTCCAAGCAATGTTGTTGCACCAGCCCACGGCCTGAACCCAGTGCACAGTGCCTGCATTGATCCATACCAGATCTCCTGGCCTTTGGATGAACCGGTACACGGGGATGTTAGCGCGGTACAAGTCATCCAGAACCGGCCACCATGATCCTGTCAGGTAATCGACGCCATGTCTGAGAGAAAATTCACAAACTTGTTAATAAAGTATTTATTTGAACAAAAATATATAAGAATTAAACATTGTTTGACTATTAGTGTCATTAGGCAGTGTTTTTGGTAAAGTGACTCTTAACACTTTCTTACTTTTCACAGAAATCACTGATGGCCTCCCAGTAGTTGTCATGGACAGCAAACCACTCACAGTCTCCAGGCCCAATATTGATGTTTAGAGAACAGAAGTTATTGTTCTCCTGGTGTCCTGATGATACAAGCATTGAACATGAAATTTAACACCAATACTACTACAATACGACTACCTGCCAAAGCAGACAATCTATCCTTGATTCTCTACAACTCATAAATCAAGAAAGCTATTTGTGATTGCGTCAAACCTGGTGTGCGGCAGCCAGGGATTTTCATGTAGAGTTGTACTGTATTCATTCCCAAAATGGTGTGGCCAACATGACTCAGCATATTCCCACTGGAGGACACACGCATAAATGCCGGCAATTTCTGCAGTTCCTGCAGCTGAGGCTTCCATCTAAAGAAAAAGACAACACAATTTAGTTTTGTATACATGCTTGCACATTACATGCGGAGCCTCTTATTTCTGTATCCACAACTATGTTTTGAAGTTTTACATATTTAAGTTTTTTATATCATCCAAATAAGATGATGAGAAAAGGTTACACATTTATGCACAGTAGTCTTACCTTTTGGTATCGGATAGGTCAATGTTGGTGCCAAATTTTATTATCTTCCCCACAGGTTTCTGCTCTGAACTATAATGATAAATTAAACCATCTTAAGTAACACCATTATAGAGAGATCTTTATACATAGTCCGTGTAACTTCTGGTCATTAGATTTTCTATTTTCAAAAATTTTTGCTGTATTTTTTGAATGGGTAAAAATGTGATTATGCTTTAATATTTGTTTTGTATGTGTAGGCGGCTCTGAAATGCCCCCTCCGTCCCCATCTTCCATAGCTACAACACTGTATAGGCGGCAACCGCAAGCTCAATTCATTTAACAGGAGAGACGCGCAGGCAAGTCAAACTTATTTACAAGAATCATGCGGCTTTGTCGTGTAAGCTACTAGCGGCGCTTTCAAGATTTAAAAAAATTAAATATTTTCATGACTGCTGCAGAATTGATTTTTTTTTTTTTTTTACATAGCAGTTTGTGTTTCATGGGGGAAAAAAACCCAAACCACATAAAAAATAACTAATATCATTTATAAAGCTTTACGCAAGTTTTCACCGTAATATTTAGTCTAGTCTTAGGCCCAATTATAGGCTATACTTTGGAATTATGAACTGAAGCGAGATCATATTAATGCCTTTAATGTCATTGTTCCAGACCATTTCAAGTCCTGCATCGATTCAGTTTTCCACGTAAGCCCAACTAGTAAATGAGTACAAGCTTATGTAACTATGTAAGAATGAATGATTTTCTCGTCAGAAATGATCTCCTCCACTGAATCAAGCCCAGCATCGCATTGCATTCTTCTTCTGAGATAAATACAAGGTTTATTCCTCAGCTTTATTCCTTGACCACTACAGATAATGAGCTCAGATGGGAAACACTGTACTTCTCGTTGGTTTCATACGAATTACATGAACAGAAAATAATTGTTTTCAGTTTGAATTGTTTAAAGGCAGACGTTTCAGTCTTTCCATAGACATGTTTCTTATGTCTGTGATGCTTTGTTTGGTTCATATTTGTGACACGTTTCAGAAAGACGTTTACAGAGACAGAGACGGCAGAAAGCGCATTCTGTTTGTTTTCTTTATTTTACAAAAGGGTTTTGTAATGTTTTGTTGTTATTGTGGGTGTATGACCAAAAATTATGGAGTTTCTTTGCACTGTTATCGGGACTGCGTCTGCACCTCTGCCGACCTGAAGTGCAGTAGCCTACTTGTTCCACTCTATACGAGATGTATAGCTCAAATTGCTGTTGTTTGTAACAGTGAATGAAAACATGTTACCTGTGAGGTTTTTCTTAAATAGGCCTAGAATAAAATGAGTAGGAATAAAATATGATACATGCTGATTTTAGCTGTGTCATTTTAGATAATACAGTAAAAGTCAAATGCCATTTTACTGGTTATGAATATAGTCATTTCTGTTTTGTCAATAACATGCAGCAGCCATGAAAATATAGATTTTTTATTTTAATCTTGTAAGCGCCGCTAGTAGCCTACATGACAAAGCTGCAGAATTCTTGTGAATAAGTTTGGCTCGCCTGCCACGTCACTCCTGTTGAAAATGAACTTAGCTCGCGGTTGCAGCCTATACGGTGTAGTACAGAAGATGGGGGACGAAAGGGGCATTTCAGGGCCGCCCACAAATACGAAACAAATATAATTTTTTGCCAATTAACAAATATACGAAAAATCCAGCTAAATTTTAATTTTCCGTTTCTTAAAAACAAAAAACGAAAATCAAAACATTTCTCATTTCTATTTATTTATTTTTAAGTAGAAAATCAAATGACCACAGGTGCACAGACCATACATACATATAGAAAAGTACAAATAAATAAATAAAATAACAAATGCAGATATTTGGACAAATTTCAAAGACTTACCTGGAGCTGGGAGCTGAGGAGTTACTGGTTGTATTCTCAGAGTTGGTGGCCAATTTCTCATCATCATCATCCTCCTCGTTGTCACTGCCCTTCTCTTCCTTTAAAGGCAGACAATGGTATAGGTACATGATGTATATGATTCAAATGGCATTCATTGTATAGTTTATATCAGACAGAACTGTACAAACAAGAATTACAAAGTAATTGCAAAATGACTAATAAATCTCTGGAAACTAACAAACACTGTGTCCTAATTTTTGTTGTGTAGGGGGGTGTATGCTTGCGTTCAAACCTGCAAGCTCTCTTGGAAGCTGGAGGCCTGGTACTGGGCATACTTGGCAATTGTTGTATGCGACCTGCTGCTCTCGCAGGGCCAGGTCTGGCCAGTGCCACTGGGATCCCAGTTCTCATCAGCTGGCTGCTGGACCTGGGTCCTGACCTCTACTGCATGCTCCCCATTTGCCTCCACCAAAGATTTAGTGGAAAACAGACCAAGATCTATGAAGAGGAAGGAATGAAAAATGAATTTTAGTTAAAAAATTAAAAATAGAAAAAATTAAACTTCGTTTCCACAACAGCAACATTTAAAAGTTACAAAATGTATGACTTGAGTATCTGTCCATCCATCCATTATACATTATGCATAAACTTACTTAATCTGAGGGAGCCAGCTAGTCCCCGGATGACAGTAATGGGGTTCTTAGAATCTGTGCAAAACTGTAGCAGGACCGGAGAGAATGCATCTCTTTTACTTTCCAACTGCAGAGAAACAACAAGATGGAGTCATCAAGACAAACTTTTATACACCTGAACATCAACTGTGGCATTACTTAAGCAGAGGGTGCATGTAATACACAGAAAGACCACAGGGGGGCAGAAGATGCTGACAATGCTACTGCAGTGCTTACGTAGATGCTAGGTGTGGGGGGGTTGAGTTTCTCTCGAGGGATGGGCTGTTCTGTGGTCAAAACTGGTTTAACAGAGAGGGCAGGTAGGAGGTACGACTCCTTAAATTTCCCCTTCAAGCGAGCTCCCCTGAAACAACAAGACATTACGTATTAGATAGGGCCTTTCATGGTCCAAGTCGCATCAAAATAAATTGCAACTGCAGCCAAGAAATAATTTGTTTTAAAGATTTCCTGCACACAAATATTGCTTACTTGCAGGCTCTGATGATTTCACTAGCTGTGTTCTTTATGGTGATTTCCTCCAAAGGAATCCTTCTCTCCTCTACCTCTGAAGCAATAAATGTCTCCCTGTCCCCACTCTCTACCTTTATGAGGCGTATCTTCAGTTCTTTGGGTGGCCCATCTGTCAGTGCTTTCAGTTTCTGAAAGTCGTCGGAACATAATGCTGAAGAAGCTGATGGGAGATCAGAGGAACGTCCAGAGCTGGTGCCCTTATCTTTACTCCGTGCCCATTCTTCTCTTTCACTCTGGGGTCGGCTACATTCCTCTTTCCTTCTCTTTTTGTCTCCGTCATGCTCTTGTTCCATCTCCCTAAACTCCTTACTCTGAAGGTACAGGTTACCCAGTACCTGCCGGCTCTTTTTTTCTTTGTGTGACTTTCCCTCCCTGTGCCGTCGACTGGAGCTGGAAGATGAGGATGAGGAAAGAGACGCATCCTCGTGTCTTTCTCTGTGCTTTTTCTTTCTCTCTTTCCTGTCCTCATGTTTTTTGCTACTGCCACAGTGTTTGTGTTTCCTCTCTCGTTCTCGGTCTCTGTGTCGGTCCTTTTCTTTATCAGGTTTGCATGTCTCCTGTGACTCTGCCTTTGAGTGGTCTTTATAAAGGAGTATATGTTTGTTCACCTCATAGCTATGACCAAGCTCCGCTAGTGAAGACTCTGAGATGGTGGTCAGCTTTGGTCGTTTTTCCAACAAGTCTTTCACAGTTCCAGAATCCTTTTGTCCTGTGGGTTCGTATGAAATGTCTTCCTCATCATCATTGCCCAAAAGATCTGACTGGCTTATGTTATCCCCTCTCTTCCTCTCCGATGCCCAATCTGTAGGTGAGAGGGGACGAGGCTGACCTGAGCTGCTAATGGCAGGGGTTTGCGTTGGACTGCTGAAACCTGGGTGATTGGCTGAACCTGATGTGGGAGAAGTGCTTTGTTGTTGTCTGCAAATGTCAGGCTCCAGTGAAAGAGATGAAGAGTACTTCACTCCCATAAAAGCAGAGGGAGGAGGACGACCAAAGGGTCCACCTCGGTAGGTGTACTTCTGGCTCTCAAGTACAGATACAAGGTTTTTAAACATGCTGTTCACACCTGTCTGATGGAGGTGTGGCCGCTGTGGTGGTGAACAGGATGGAGTTTCATCTTCCCGATCCGCTTCTTCTTCATCATCCTCACACTCACTTTTCTCTACCTCTGGAAGGCCATACAGCTTGGCCAGGTCACTATGGCGATAGTTGGTTCCTGTTGTGGCAAGACTGCTTTCTTGAGACTGCATGTAAATGGAATTGGCAGGCTTGGGAATGACCTTAAGAACCTCCTCTTCTTCCTCAAGTGAAGTACGGCTACAAGGAGATGCCAGTGAACCTTGCCGACTTAACACAGGTGGGCTTGCATGGCCAACTGGCTGATAATCCTCAATTGGAGATTGCTTAAGGGCAGGCATGAGGTCTGGTGCGCATAAATAACTCTTCATAGGTACCATGTTTGTAGAAAATGGAGGTTCCGGTACTGCCTGTTCTCCACTCTGACCAGAATATAGCTCCTCCTCTTTCTTGATGGACTCATCCAGCATCTTTATAATATTAGCCAATCCATCAGGCAAGAGCTCAGAAGTTTCCTCCTCAAATTGGGCACCATCAGAGTCACCACTGCAACTTCTAGCACTGCTACCCAGACTACCAAGTCCTGTACTAGGCATACGTTTTTGAAGGCTGCTTGTAGTCGTGCTGATAGGTGTGCATGAAGAACGAATATCATTGGGGAAAGCCTGGTAAAGTTTGGGTGGCTCGCGCAGAGGTGGAGGGTTGGGAATAGTGTCTATAATCTCAGCATTATGAGAGGTTTTCAACATGGTGACATCTTTGTATGGATCAGGCTTCAATTTCATGGTGTGGCTATGGTTTTCGGAGGGGCTGATGAGACCCGAATCTGAGGGGTATGTGGGATTCCCAGTGGAATTCTGAGATGGTGCTCCACTCTTCCATTTCTCTCTCTGCCTTTGCTTCTCACGGGCATATTCTGTCTGGGGGGTAAGAGGAGGTGGTTGTGACCGTTCCAAAACGTTTGCTGGAGTTCCAGAAAGACGTGGGGGCACTCCTCCTCGACTCAACCAGGGATAAGGTGGTGAATTCTGGCTAGGAAGTGAGACGGAGGAGAGTGCATTGGTTGGTGACAAACGAGGAGGTGGAGGCTCAGCTGCACTACCTGACACCAAATGTTCCAGACTCTTGATAGTAGACTCACTGTGTGGCTTTGTCTCCACTTCTTGTTGTTCTACATTCCGTTTCCTCTCTTCATTCTGGTCTCTCCTCCGCTCTTCTGCTTGCATGTGGCCTTGCAGCTCTGCATCAAGTTTATTTAAAGCATCAGCAATGGACTGAGAGCTTAGGGCAGCAGGCTGTAAACAGGACCTTGGGTAGACTGGGGCTGGAACAGTAGTAGTTGCCTGAGAAATTAAGGAGGAAGCTTGGATGGGTGATGAGCTGTATGAATTACAAGAAATTGCCTGTAGGGCTGAGTTGACTTTTATGTGTTCTGGAAGCTGAGGGCAATGTAAAGGTGAACTGACTTGAGGGAGAGTGTTATAAGTCTTGCTGGTGATGACGCTCTCCCCTGATCTCTGAAGTCCTGAGTTTAGGTTGGAGGGAGAAGAGGACACTGGGGTGTAGTTAGGTCTACCCTGTCCTGTGTGGGGAAGAGTGGACTGAATCTGAGATTGTGCCCCTCTATGTTGTTTTGGAAGGGTTCCAACACCAGGGTGGACACCCTGATACCCTATATGTGTTAGATTTTGACCAATCATGGATACATGGTTTGGGTTTGAGACTAGCACTGAAGAATCCGTCGCTCTCCAACTGCTCAGGGAGCTAGGAATGGAGGAGCTGGTAGAGGGTGCTGAGCTCAAGGCAGGAATGCTTCCAACATTGGTGTATAGTTTTAGAGAGCAAGGAGTTTCTAGGTTTGGGGTAATGACAGGTTTTCGAGCAGGGGCCTGAGGAGGGCTCACATGCTGGTGGGTCCCTGGACCCTGTTTGGCCCCAGCAAACCTATTCGGTGCCTGAGAAAGGCGTGCGGCAACCTGAGAATCCCCTCTTGCTGAAAAGTCACGTGATTCCTAAAGGGAAATTAATATTACAGTCAGCAAATCATAGGACACAATATTGTAACTACTAGGGTTGGGTATCATTTGAATTTTATCGATTCCGATTCTGCTTATCGATTCCGATTCTTATGGATTCATAGTTTCGATTCCAATAAGATAAAAAAATCCAATATAAAAGAAATTAAGTCAAACATTTACAAAGCATTCTGTTGCAGCTGAATTACACGAGCAAAAATCAGCAGCCTACAGAACACTGCAAGAGGAATTTTGCCTATGCTTTAAAAAAAATACCACAGCAAAAACAACTAGATTAATTGTTCTTTGGTTAACATTAATGACAGGCAGTGCGTTTATTAGGCTGAACACCGAACGCACGCAGATCTAAAAATACTGTACATGTGTGTTTTCTTTCTCATCTGTTTACAACGGAACGGTTTGAGAACGGACACAAACCGGGAACCCGTACCGCGACCTCTGTTCTCTGTCGCGCTTGCGCTTCGTGTGTGCTGCACGAAAACAGGGCGCAAGTTCTTTCCGTTCCAGCACTTAAATCGTTTTTAATCACATTAAAATGCGAACGCAGGAATCGTTAGGCAGAATCGAAATGCATGCATCTTATCGAATACCCGGTTCTTGTAAATTTGGAACCGGTTCTAAAATGGAATCGGTTTTCGACACCCAACCCTAGTAACTACTGATAACATTTATGGTTTATAGCATATATTGTGTAGCATAGTATTTATTAATATAAAACAGCCAGTAAAGTGACTTTTAAAAGTGACGTGACATGTGGCCAAGTATGGTGACCCATACTCAGAATTAGTGCTCTGCATTTACCAAGGGCACCTCAGTCGTGGTATTGACGGTGGGAGAGAGCGCTGTACATTCACTCACCCCACCTACAATCCCTGCCGGTACGAGACTCGAACCCACAACCTTTGGGTTATGAGTCCGACTCTCTAACCATTAGGCCACGACTTCCCCAATTTTTAAGCCTTAAGCAGGCAGATCTGTTTGTGTATCAAATAGGTTTTGGTTAATGTAAGTTGAATCTATGTGATCATCAGCTATCATTCTGTGTGTGTGTGTGTGTGTGTGTGTAGGTGTTACCTGATTCCTCCAGGGTTTATGGGGGTTGTGCTGAGGTACTGTGGCCTGGGCCTGGTTGCTGGCTGGTGGGCTGGAAAGGACCAGCCCTGGGTGAGGCTGGAATTGGGGGTGACTGTAAGGCACAGAGGTGTGGTTTGCTGGTGAGGGTGCAGGGCGCACCCCATCTGCCCGTGGTGATGATGAGGATGTATGTGGTGATGGAGCCTGGTTATCCAAAGAACTCACTCCAGAACCATGTCCTCTTTGTGGAGTAGTACCACGTGGTTCCCCTTGTGTCTGGGCTGAAGGTCTGTTGTTGGGGTAGGGGTATGGAGAATGATGGATGTGAGGGTTCTGTGAAGGTGGTCCCAGAGACTGTGGTGACAGAGCAGTCCTGTGGGACTGTGGTGGAGGACCCCTGCTTTCTTCGCAGCCTCTTATGGTAGGAATGGCGGGTGAAGACATGGTTGATGGATTCAAGGGAGGCGGTTTAGAGGTGAAATTTTCAATTCCTGACTTAGCTGAATCCTGTAAATAGAGAATAGGAATTGGCCTAGTAAGCCAAGCACATCTAATGTAAAACAAAAGGGAAGACTCAACGTCAGTAATAACGGTCACACAATACACAACTTTCTAATTTGTTGGATTGCTGTTCTTTACACACACTACACAATTCTCTATCATTGTGCGATGTGAGTTAGTCAAAACATATTTCACACTACATTACTTGGATTGCAGACAGGTCTAGATATTTAACCTGCTAAATAGATTTGCACCTGATTTCTGGCCTTCGTTACAATCTCCACTGACAAGTGGAAAGTCAGGGCAAAAATTTTGAAAAAAGTGAAAGCTAATAAAGTGGCAGTGACAGATGATTGCATACATTAATCTGTCAGACAGAATACAAGAAAATATTATTGAATATTAACATTCAGATCAGTGATGACTGACCTGGAAATCAATGGGTCTGCTTTTGTGTTCATTCAGGTTCCAGGGTGCTCCTCCTTTGTGCAATGGGTTCCAAAAGCCAGGTTTGGGTGGGGGGTAGATGGAGGATGGCTGCTGTTTCAAATGTACAGGCAGCCCAGACATGCGCTGCATGGCTGAAGGAGTCATCTGCAATAAGAAAAAAGCCAAAAAAAAAAGGGCTTCTTAGAATACTTGTCGAGATTTAGTACAAAAAACGCAGAGGTGAGGACATCAAAAGACGTGATATGCTCTCGACTAACCTGTTCAGACCCAGAGCTCTTCTTTCTCTTGCTCGGACTGGGGCAGTCCTCCATGGGCCGGTGCAGAGATGGAGCAGGGGTATGCTGAATGACAGAGTGCTCTCCCAGTAGGGGCCCAGGCCGTTTTAACTGTCCAGAATGAGAGTGAGGTCCCCTGGGTTGCTGCTGAGTCTGAGGTTGAGTCCATATATCAGGTAATGGAGGCATGGGCCGTGAGACATGGGCTAGGAGCTGAGGATGAGGAGCACCGTACTTGTGGATAAAGCAAGAGAAAGAGAAGTTGGCGAAAGTACTCTCAACTATAGAACACAGTTAAGTGCGCTATACATTAAATTAAATGCAAAAATTTGTATAACAACTGCAGTGTAATATAAAGCTAGTCTTTCATAACTTCTACATTTAAAAATACTGATATATACAGGAACACAATTCATTTTTATATAACGAGCGCATATAAAAGGAACAGTAACGAAATATAAGGTCAGTAATCACCTTCAGTAGCTGACTGGCTCGAGCTGTGAGGTGTGCAGGAGGTCCTGCGTTGTAGCCATTGTGCAGTCGGTTGTGGTTATCAACAGGCAATGGCTCATATCCCTGGCCAGTTCTGGTTGGTTCCCAAGGCCTGGGAGGAGCAGGGGGCATCCTTTGCAATCCTGGCAACAAAGCCTGAGACGGGTCTTGCTTATCTCCTCGATGTAAGGGACTGTAAATACAAGGACACATTAACAAACCTTTGCCAGAAGTATTTGTAAAATGACAATAAAGCTTAATAAAAACTCACCCATTGTTTAAAAATTTACTAGAATGATTTAGCCCAGTCATGTGACTGGGTGGCATATGGGGGAGAAACTGGTGCTGATTGACACCTGGTAAGCACCTATCAAGAGAAGAGAAAACAAGGTTTTGCTTTGATCATTCCTTCTTATAACTCAGGGGCCGTTTACACGACAACGTTTTCAGCCAAAAACGGGAAACTTTGTATGCTTTTTGCCTGTTTGTTTACATGACAACGGCGTTTTGTGGACTGAAAACACAATTTTGAAAACGGGTTTCAAAGTGAAAGTTTTTGAAAACGTCACGAGTGTGCGTAGTACATGTTAGGTATGAAGACATGTGCAGTACGTGTCGATTTTAAAGGCAAGCGCAAACAAACATACACAACAATGGCAGAGTACATTGTAGTGTTGTTGCTGCTTAAGAGTTTGCTAACGCTTTTTCAGCAAAGTGTGGATTTACTTACAACCAATATTACAACCAACAGTGGAGACGCATCATATACACATGGCAACAGGTACTGTTTACTAACAAGGTGACAGCACCAACTACTGGCCTGGCATACGTAATACAGCGTTTTTGGCAGTTTTCGCGGATATGTGTAAACGTGAATCGTTTTGAAAACGTTGTCGTGTATATGTGAAACTTTTTAAAAATGCAAGGGAAAAACTATTCAGTTTTTGCCTACATCGTTGTCGTGTAAATGTAGCCTCAGTTAACACAACTTTATCAGTGAAGTCACTAAAACCATGACGCGGCCCTGATCATGAGGTATATTACCTGGAGGGAGGTGGCCAGGCGCGGCTGCCCACGGGAGCCCATGGTCCCCGGTTGAGTCCGTCCAGAGGAAAAGGGTCCCGTGTGCTGCACCCGGCGAACTGTTCTGCTGTGTGATGCATCCAGCCTAAACAATAAACACACATCTTTAATATCTTAGCCAATACATCTGTCACTGCTGGAAAAAATACTTAAAATAGCAGACATCTAATCTCTTTATTTATTAGCTACACTTTAGTCTATTTATTAGCTGTTACTTTAGTATTATTTATATACTTTTAGTTTTAATATTTTGAATTAACTGTTACATTTATATTTTAGTTGAAATTTTAGTCATTTTGTTGTGCTTTTATCGGTTGTTTTTTATATTTCTTTTAGCTTTAATTTTTTATTTCAGTTAGTAATTTTTACTTATTTTAGTTAGAGAACAGTACACATGGTTACTTACCACACTAGCTGTGAGTGTGAAGCCCTCCACTGCAAAACAGAGAGGGCCACTCACCAACACGACGGAGAAGCTGTTTACTGCTACTCCTGCCAACTGGAGAGAGAAAGAAAAGAGGAGAGATGGGGAATAAGAGGTAGAGGCACAAAAAACTGCCAAATCTATTAAACACAGGGGAAAAACATATGCTTTGTAGGCTGTATGAGTGTTTGGCCTGAAGGCAGCTAATAACAAAGGAACCCTACAGAACTTCAGTGCCACTCGCTACCTCTAGGGTGCAGTGCTCTTCTGTATTCTAATGGTAGGAAAGGGTGCACAGATGGGCTTGTGGGTGTTCACCTGTAGGGTGAGTGCACTGAGGTCATTATAACCCTTCCTAGGGCCTCTTGGCAGAGGGTGAGAGTGATGGGAAGGAGGGGACGAGCAGAGCAAAGCCCTGGAATCAAGCCAGCGGTGTCTGTGTGCATGTGTACATAAAGGAGTGTGTGTACTTGTGTTGTGTTGCTTGAGTTTGATTATTTGCATGTGTATGAGTGTGTGTCTATGACAAGAGAGACACTGAGGTTAATCTCATTAGGCCAGGCATGATGGAGAGAGGAAAGGATAGAAAGAAATAGAGCAAGGGGTGGAGGGAGGAAAGGAACAGCAGAAGGCTTGAACAGGATGGATGGACAGATTAGGGAAAAAAGAGGGGTCTAAAATTAAAGTGTTCTTTAGGGAGACACCAAAGTGAGAAGACCGGCTGTGCTCCCATGAAACACCCACGCATGCAAACACACTGAGCTTCCCACGCATTCTGAACACACATGGCACACACTGGATGCACAAATATTGGCAAGCGTGCGCACACACCCGATTGAAATCGCTTGGCACACGCGCATATATACCCATACAGCAAAGGATGCCTAGTGCACACTAATTATGGACTTGGCAAAAGCATTTCAAGTGTGACACGCACAGGCTTTCTCTTTCCATAGCACAAAATAAACCCACACACACTTATTATACAATCAAATAGGCCACAGATGCAAAACTTGTCATCCATAAAATGCTGTATAACCTGATGGGTTATTCCGGAGTTACAAACTCAACATGCAGTGTAACACTTACTGATGAAATTCACAACCCTTTAATACTTTAATACAGTCTTTAAGCTGCAATTTTGGTGATGAGGCATAAATTAATCTAAAGATAAATACGTACGAGGCAATATTCAGAGAGTGTTTGGATACAGTGTGTGTGAGCTTTTCATTGCTCAGCAGGTTTAGTACAGTGCACACGAGCCCACCCACTCCTCTCTGGCTCAAGGTGTCACACTATTAAAAGGCTTCTGTGATATTTCAGGAACTCCGGATTTAGCTGCTAGTGGGGACTGAAATAATCGTGACCCTGCAGCACGCTGCATTCTTAGAACAGTTTCTGCATATTCACACACACACACACACACACACACTACCTGTCAAATAAGCATCTAGCACCACTTCTCAAACGTCTGAAGAATTAGGGTTTAGCACCAACAGTTGATCATCTCAGCTGACTCTGTGGTCGTAGATTGCTGTAGAAAGAGATAAAGAGATAATCACCAGTGCATTGAGTTTACTCGCATTGAGTTTATTCTCATTTGCGATCCTGATCTTTTGCATTGGCTTCATTCCATCCAATCAGAACAAGTGCTGTAAAAACAGCCAGGGTTCACAGCTGTGCCATCAATACCCTATCACAGACATGGTGTCAAAAATGACTCCATTGAGGAGAAAAAGTTGACAAATTGCGATTTGGAGTTAAAAAAATCCAGACGAGAATTTGTTTTTAATAAAACTCTTTTGTTTTTCCCATATTATTCTATTCTCTATTAGGAGCACAATAAAGAATACAACTATTTTATATGGACAAACTGCACTCTAATAAATAAATAAATTCTTTATTCAATATTAACCATGAAGTGTCAGTTGTAACATGAAAATAAAAAATAAACTAAAGCAAATCTGTCCGCAACACTGGAATCTCTTGGGTGGTGAGCAGGAAAACAGTGAGAGGAAATCCATGATACTGTCTCTCGCACACAATGGTGAGAGTTATTGTGGGGAGGTGTCTGAATAAACACAGGCCTGGCTCTCATAGAGACATATCGGTGTGGAAAGCCAACAATCAAATGCGAAAACTGTGGCTCAGGAAAAACACCCCATGAGAAATAAAGGTGGAATTGATGGGTTTATAGAAAGTAGAAAGTGTTTTCAGTGGTTGGTATATGTGCATGTTTTTTGCATAAGAGAAAAACGTAAGTTTGTATAAAAGAGGCACGTACACAGAGTAAACCAAGGGTCTTCAGCAGTGAGTCTGCCATATTATTGTGTAATGGTTTAAAAACTTACTGGTTTAAAACTTAAACCAGTTTTAGTGAAACAAAAAAGCTAAAGCTTTATGCTAAAACTTATTTTTTTGCAATGTCCAACTGGGAGGTCTTTTGCCTAAAAAAAGTTTGAAGACTGCAGAGGCAGACAGCTGTGGGTAGTGGCTTTTAGTGTACATTCATAGTATAAAAACACAAACGCAAACTGAAACTTCTCCATACTACATTTCCACATTTCACATAGAAAGACAAATCATACTGCTTTGACAAATCAAAGCTTTGCTTTGACGAGAATATGTTTTGGATTACTACTAATATAGATTTCTAGTAATGTGGGAACAATACAGCACTCCGAAACTGATTCTTATTATTGTAAGAGAGATATATCGAAACACACATACATTAGGTCTGATAATAGCTAGCGGTCTGCTGCATAACTGGGGAACTCCCATGACTCAACCATGGAAAGGGCTTACCCCACAAGCCAGACTCTGCCCCCTTCTCTCACACACTCTTTATGGTCAGGTGATCGGGGACGCCCACCTCAGTGACAGCATAGGGAATTTCTGAAAGTGTGCCGTCATTGATATCTGTCACAGTGCATTGTTTTAGATGCAAAACATATGAACTGTAAAATTACAGTGGTTTTTTTTTTTATGTTTCACCAAACCGGGGAATCCGAAACTCACTGACATCGATCAGACAGGAGAAAACAGGTGGCTTGCGGTGCAATTGATTATACGAGTGAACGTGGTTGTGTGGTTATTGGTTTATTGCACGGCATCGCATCTCTATTCGCTTTCATGCTTTAGCCAACTGTTTTCTGTGTATTTACTCATACTTCAAAAACTCTTTACAAGTAATTTAAATTTAAAATCACCTTTAAATCATAAATGTTCCAAAGATATTATAATTTAAAAAAATCCCCCATTCACCCCCACATCGCCCCTCAGCTTGATAAAATTACCCATGACAATAAACATCAAACAACTATTCCAGTCACTGGCTTGGTCGTCACACTTACCAGATCAATGCCTGAAAACACCAAACCAAATGAGGGCCACGTATGTGGGCGTCTAAAATCAACCCGGTCCAATCAAACAACAACAAAAAAAACCTTCAGGAAATCACCGTGAGAACTAACCAACCATACAGCTGGACCAAAAGATATAACTTCTGAAGTAATGTTTTCAAAAACTGATTCAGCTTATGATTCACTTTTAAATAGATGGGGACTGACATCTGGAACATGGCAATGTGAAAGCAATTCCATTTTAAAATAGTGCTACGGGTTGTGTGAATGATGGCATCTCCCAGCATGACGACAACGTCCTCATTCCTGCCAGAAACTACCATGAAGCAACACGGACCGCCAAAACAGCTGAGCGAGCGAGTATGTGGAAGAGAACGACATGGAATGGAGTCAAGGAATTAGGCCAGGAGAGGGAAAACGGATTGGTGCTAAAGCTAAGTACATGAGAAGAGCAGGGGAATTGGGAGAGCTGGAATGTTCCTCAGTGAGCTGGCGGAAGGGCCTGTGGGTGAGGGCTCACATGTGGCCATTATACAACCCACCTCAGATAGAGATCACACACAGAGGCACAAGGAAGCACAACGTCACAGTAGGCTTGCGTCTGTTCCCTTCCCTATGTGTGTGTGTGTGTCTGCCTCTGCCAATGATGCAAGGCTGAGTCGTCACAATGGCGCCACTGCCTTCCAAGCCCACACTCATAGCCTCCACACAAACATGCTAACATGCAACAGAGTGTACATCCTGATCCTGAGAGTGAGTTCAGCTGAGGACACATGCAGTGCTCACTTCTGTTTGACTCTCTGGCCAACTCCTCGCATACATGTAACTTTGTGACAACCTTTCCTCAACCCTGCACCACCCTTACAAAAATAACATTACAATAAAAACTTTCACGACTGGCCCCTATGCACAGACCACGATTGTTTTCCCTGCTCTCGTTTTCATGTCATCGCCCTTGACCTAGTTCAACGTTCCTGATTTATGGTTGCTAGACAGATGATAAATCCATCTGGATGGAGCATTTGAAGATAAGCACTAACAGCACGATATGATATTGACACTAAAATGTTGTCCATCTGGTATCAGCTGTTAATGAATACGTATGTAGGCTAATATATAAACCAGGACACATCAGTGGTGTATAAAAGTGCTCAGACTGTCTTACTAGAGGGGGAGGACTCAGGTGACCCTAAACTAAATACTCACTCATGTCATTCCTGACATGACACCAAAATCAGCAATGTTACTAATAATGTGAATCTTGAATTCAGGTTTCAGTTCTCAGTTGTTTCTCGTTGAGTTGACACAAAGAGAAACATGATGCTTTTCTTAGTAACTCTAGTGGGCATGTCCTGTTAAGAGTAAACCATGCTGTCACTGTGGTAAGTACTGCTGAGAAAACACCCTTAGTCATTACCTAGAATGAGGTGTATAACTGACACTGATATTACTCATAAAAGGAGAAGTCAACATGAAACAGTTTACAAACCATTTTACTTCTGTAACGCGTCATATTTCTAAATGAGAAAGGATATGCATTGAAAAACAAACAAAAAAAATATGTAGTGTTGGTCTTAATTAGATTCTGAAAAGTGGCATCATCTAAAAAGAAAAACCATTTCAGAGGTGGAGTGAGTTGTTACTTCGATGAAAGATTATGTAGGCTTTGAAATAACGTGGACAAATCGTTCACAATTAGACCAGAAATGTGCATTAAGAAAGTCTATAGGGTCAATTTTGATCTCATGTTGACTTGATGAAATGAAAGTGACGACAGATCTTTTCTTCAGGTTTGTGACGTACATCACAGATTATTGGAAAAATAAATGTAGAATGGGGACTTGGTTCTATCCATTGGTCAGACCTAAGATATCTTGATATCTCTGTCTGGATAGCCAGGGAAAGTTCTGCTGTTGTGTTTGTCTGTGAATGTGAATATACCAGCATGTGAGATTAAAGAAAGCAGAACAGATATGATAAGACAGGAAATTGTTGTCAGAGCAACAGGAAGTGGGCCTTGGGCCTC